ATGTACTCATTTTTCGAACTTGTCTTAGTTTTCTATCTATGGATTTTAAAAATTTGAATTCTTTCATGAGTAGATTTGCGAGTTTAGCTGCTATGCATTGTCAGCCTGGACTTCTTAACTTTCTGTTTCCCTTAACGGCTACATATTTTATCTGCCATAATAGCACCCTCAATAGTCGTTACTATTCTTTCTTATCCTGTTTCACTCCGATTATGTAACTCTTTGAAGCGGAGAACTTTTGCTTCAGGCGTTCGCGTACGTCAACAAGGTGATACCACAATTATGACAGAACATCGAGATCCATATTCATTCTACTGGCAGTTGGATCAGGTAAAGCCCTGGAATGCCTCACACCCTCATTTCATGTTTCTTTATCTCAATTCTTTTCAGCAGCGGCGACGTTCCGAATCTCCAAAACGTCATCCACCTCCTACAGATTATGTGATTGACGAAGAGGAAGTAAGTCAAAGCTTGAAGATTTTTTATTGTAAGCAGGTGTTGCACTTTTTGAAATTATTATTTTTGAATTTTCTGCTTCTACGATTCGAATTTTATTTGGTCGAATATCGAAGTAGCGAAAGATTCTCTCCATACATATGACTAAAATGTTTTGTTATGAAACCTCCGTGTAATCGATTGAATGCGCTCCATAATGGAATTTCATCATTTTTTTTTCGTAAGACGGTTTCTTTTCATACAATGCATAGGAATGGTCTCTAGAAGAATTTATACTTTTACACATTAATCTGTTCATACACTAGGGGTCGCAAAAATGGCCCTCTTTTGCTTCCTATTAACTCCAAATCTGAATATTTTCTATGCCGTAAAAGTCCATTTAGAAGGACAAGTTTGAACTCACATTTCCATTCATGAATAGATCTTGTAACTTTTGCAGTTACGAAGAAATTCTAGAGTGACTTCAGCGTTAGCACAGTACATCACGGCTTGATGCAAAGTAATTAATCACGCTGGGAACCTAATTGATGAATTTTATGAATATGCTGAATCTAATCATGATAACCATTTGTAACTGTTATGTTTTGTACCAAAGTCGCGGCGGGATTAAATGGCAGCGCCAAAATCACACGCACTCAATATCAGTCATACCGTATCTGCCAAAGGTACAAAGTGTTTATGAGTGTAAATATAAGTACGAACTACTTTGAAGTGAGTCACTAAGGTCTTAAACAGATGTGAAGATAAAGGAAATTGGGCACATCTCTGTTTGGAAAACCTATTATTTTCTTGTTAGTCACAGATGATCTGCTTCTACTCAAACTTGATGACTCAACAGTCTTCGACTGGAACCCTTTTCAGATATTGTCATTGCAACGTTTATGTCTCATCTGCGATTTTTAGGTAGTGGAAACAGTACTTTCTCCTGAATCTCATGATTCTGGAGT